CTTGAGTCGTTGAAGTCTCTTGCAGATTTATTCCCCTGCTTAATTAACACGAAATTACGGCTGTCGTGACCTCGCGAATTGGTTTATAATTTAACAAAAACTTTCAACTCTACCCATTAAAATGAAATTCCTCTGTTTTTGCTACCCGGTCGCTGGGCGAAATAAACATGACTAATTCATCATTACAACTTGTCAAGGAAGTCGCAAAATATACATTCGAAACATATTCTGACACTTGCCCAGGCATTTTATATCATGGTTGGGCGTTGCCAGACTTGGGTTTTGCATCTCTAGTTATTATCTTTAGTTCCGAGTTTTCAAAGTCCTTGAATGATTGTGATGTGTGAGTGTCAAAACCTGTCTCTGTTTGATTTTGTTGTACTAACACAACGATCAACGAGTCGTTCCCGCCCAACATTTGTAGTTAGCAAAGTTCGAAATATCCGAACCCACTGGACGAAATCGATTTGAATAGCCTGGTATTGTATTCGGGGTCATGATCCTCCAACAGATAACTTGCTATTTTTGAGCTTTCTTTTTTTATTATTATTTGCAACTGCTATCCTGGACATGATATAGCAACATAAGGTTGTTTCAAGTGAGTTGGTATATTTAATTAAGTTGTTGTCAATCACAAGATATTCATTGTTCACGAATTATGTAATTTGATTTTAATAATCTGGTAAAAATTTTCAGTTGAAGACGAGTGATTGCCGAAGTAATGAATTATTCATTTAGTGATTGTCAACTCATCATTATAGTGAAACGTATTGCGTGGTAGATAATAAAAATTAATCCTTAAACGAAGCCTTTTTTATTTTTTCCAGATGCTCAAGATATTCAGAGTGTCCGGCTCCAGATGTATCCACTCGCTGGTTGGCCTACAACGCTGCTCAGTGCATTCATATTACCAATGTAGCTCCTTATCACAGCCTGCCTATCAGTCTCACGGAGCAACAGGTCAGGACTCTCCTATGTATTTCCCTGTGTTGGAGGGAAACGGTGTCTTTTTCACATGTCCTGATGGAAATCATTGTCTCTATTGTTTAGAGAAGATATGAATTTCAGGTTTTTTCTTTCATACAGATTTGATTTTAAATTTGCAGGGTAATGGAGGTAAGAAAAGATGACTGGATTTTAATCCAGGGTCATTCATGAGATTACAAATAATTATGTTAAGCAGATAATATTCATTTCATTTATATCAGGCATTTCACCTGAGAACAACATAAGGAGTTTTCAATTTAATATTTTAGCTTTACTTGCCGTTTCAGATGACCTTGACCATACAACAGTTACCCGACCTAGTGATTGGCCAGAATTATGAATGCTACTTTGGGTCATATCAATCCCTCGCTACTGTTACCAGTGATTCGCTTATTTGTACATCTCCTCCGAGTGACAGGATACCTGCAATTCAGAGAGAAGGCAAGCACGGGGGGGGGGGTTAAGGAGATGCCAAAGGATCCTTATTCTTAAAAACTAAAAAAAGAAATGAAACTTTTATTCAGGACTCCTATTTCAAGGGAATAACAAGCTATGAGACAGATCTATAACTCATTCTTGAAATCTCAGTCTGCTCAACATATTTCCCGAAACGCTTTCTTAGATGACGCAGTCAGAGTTGATCTGGGTGTCTATTCTACGGAAACAATGGTCCGTTTCATCGATACCAGCTTTCACTTCTTCAACTGCTCAGTTCATTCGTCGTGAGTACTTTTTTTCGGTTGTAATTGCTCAGTTTTAAAACAACTTGTCTTCCTGCGTTCCTCTTTCTTGTCTTCACAGTTGTATATCCTGTGTTGATAGTCGCTGGGCCTGTGACTGGTGTGTATTTGACAACAGATGTACTCATGACAGCTCCACGTGTACTAAAGATAATGAAATCATCATTACTGGGGAAAATGTAAGAAAGCAATCACAACCATTTGAATTCGAATTTTT